GTTCTCATCTCAGTGAGAATATCAGCAGCGGCCCTATTTTTTGGCAACCCCCCGAACAAGGAACTTTCAAAGTAAACACTAATGGGGGGGGCTTTTTTGGTTCACATAAAGCCAGTTTTAAAGCTGTAATAAGAGATTGGACAGGGTCATGCATTACTGCTTGGTTAGGACTAGGGGTGTCAATTGGACTGGATTTGGTCCAATCTGATCCAATCTTATGTGAATCCATTACAAATAGATCAGGTCCAATCCAATCCAATGAATATTTTGGACCATTTTGGACCGGTCCAATTTAATGCCTGGACTGTTCAATCTATTCAAATTCATTGTAATTTAGATTGCTTTCAACCCAAACCCGGTCCATTGATACCTATATTCTTATCTTATATCAATGGACCAGATATTGGCTTAATCCAACTCAATCCAATATAAATTTATTATAGACGGACCAGGTCCAATCCAATCTCATAAATATTTTGGACTGGATTGGTCCAATCCAATATATCTTGTTGGTTTGTCCAATCTGTTCAAATTGATTTTGAATTAGATGGGGTCCAGTCCAAAATTGGTCTATTAACACCCCTAGTTAGGACCTATGTCCTCTTTCTCAGCAATTCAAGCAGAAGCGATAGCCATCAGACAAAGCCTTTTGTTAGCACTTAACAAAGCGTTGTGGCTTCAGTAAGGTGATCATCGAGTTTGACTGCCACAACTTAATTAGAAGTGTGAACCAGAAGATAGGAGATTTTAGCCCAGATGTGTTCTTTCTATTGAATAACATTTACGTAGCTGCTACTGGTTTAGATTTTCCTTTTTGTATGTTAACAGAAAATGTAACAAACTGCCCTATTCTTTAGCCAGGAAAGGTTTACTTGCAATTTTATATGAGCTGGGCTTACATTTTTTGGTCCTCGGGCTGAGTTRGGCCCAAAAGTTTGGGCTTTTTAATTTTTTGGGCTGGGCTTAGGCTTAGTCTTTAGGTAGCTCAAGCCCAATCCGGTTATATACATCTATATATGCATATATAGATACATATTTGCATGTATATATGCAAACTTCTTTTTAATAAACCATACATATATGCATATATGCATACATATTCACAACACGTATATCAGTTTTTAGTGTGGGCTGATTGACCAACCCATGCACAGCCTGAGCCCGAGCCCAATCCAAGTGCATCAAATTTTAGCTTGGGCCAGGCTTTAGGCCCAACTCTTATGGTTGGGCTTAGGCTGAGCTAAAACCTGCCCTAGCCCACCCAACTTTCACCCCTACCTATTTGTGGTGAAGAGTTGCTACTTGCTACCTTGAATTTGTGGCAGATTTTATAAAAGGGGTATAGGAATTCAAAGGCCATGTTTGGGAGTGCTTATATTAAAAATAAGTGCTTAAAATAAGTGTTTATTCAAATAAGCACTTATTTGCATTTAGCACCTAACTTTTTCAAGTGCTTATTTTAAAAAATAAGCACTTATTTCATATTGGGCATTTGGTAGTCTTTTTTCCCTAATAAGCACTTAAATAAGCATTTGTGACTATTTTGTTCTTCATTTTCTTTCAAAATTTTAAAATATGCCTTTATAAAAGTACTTTTATTAAATTACTTTTATAAAAACACTTTTATGAAAGTACTTTTATGAAAGCACTTTTATAAAAGTACTTTTATGAAAGCACTTTTATAAAAGTACTTTTATGAAAGCACTTTTATAAAAGTACTTTTATGAAAGTACTGTTATGAAAGCACATTAATAAAAACACTTTTACAAAAGCACTTTTATTAAAACACTTTTATAAAAATACTTTAATGAAAGCACTTGAATAAAAACACTTGTACAAAAGTACTTTTATAAAATTCAATTAGGGATAACTTTATAAGTGGTATTTAAAATTCAACTAGGAACAATTTTGAAAGAAAAAAAAATTGAATAAATGTTTATTATATAAGCACTTAAAAAAGCTAAAAATTTAGGCTTAAAAAATAAGCACTTATTTTTAAGCACTCCCAAACATGGCCTAAGGTGGTGTTTGATAACACTTTTCAAACCTTAAAGCTTGAAAATGTTGCTTTTCAGACACCACCTATGTTTGGGTTGAGTTTGAAAATTCAAATTTGAAATGGCATTTTTAGATCTGAATTTTTAAGAGGCAGGCCAATGACTTAATGCGCTCAAAGAGTTGTAAAGATCTGAATTTTTTTAAAATGCCCATCCTTTCTCCCTTGCTCTCTATGTCTTCTCACCACCACCGTGGTTGCAAAGAGTTGTAGTGGAATTCGATTCGCCTAATTCCAATTATATCATTAATTCGATTAATTAATAATCTTCCTCTCTCATTAATTTCGTTTTGTTAGTATAAAAAGCTGCAAATATTAGCAATAGCAAGACTTGAACCTTGGTTACTAGATTTTAACATCCATAACTTGGCCACTAAGCCACTCCAACTTGTTTGTTACAATTATATACTTTTTTAGTTTTAAGTAAATTTCATCTTTTTTTAATGGTGCTTATTAATAAATGCTGAAATTAATTATTAAAATTTATATACTAATAAATATTAATATAAATTATATTGTTATTTGAAAATTGATGTATATACATTCACATTTTAGTTTTTTTACTTTTTTCACATTTTAGTTATTCCATCATTTTTCAATGGTTATTAATTACATCTGGATATGTCACATTTTATATAAACATTAAATTATGTTTTTTTACATTTAAATGACTTATTTACAATCATATAAAACTTGCAAGTATTGTTACTAATATATTTTTTATGATTTATTTGAATTTCGTATCATATTTATGCGTATCTTGATTTTTCATCTATTTCCATGTGTATCTAAAACATATCCCAATACATTTCTTAAAATTGTCTTTCTGATACACCTTGTGTTTCAGATACTTTAAACCTTGGACTTTATTACTATTTTCATTATTATTTTAACTTTTAATTTATAAATTTATATATATTTTCAATTTTATTCTTATTTTAATAATTCTTTAATTTTTTATAATTTATCATAATTTGTTCATATTTTTTAATATTATTTTGAATTTAATAAATTATATTTTATGAAATAGAACAAATTGAACTCAAAATTACCAAATACTATGTTTTAGGGATAAAATAGTAAAATTAAGGAATTTCATATGCTAAAAATTTGATCCAACACAAACAACAAAGCCTTTAAAAAGTCAAAAGCATTTATGTCTCTTCTCATATTTCAGACACCATTAATATCTTTTTTAACTTTTCAGATTTCAGATTTATCAAATGCCATCTAAGTATGGATCGAATTCCAGCTCTGATTTTTTGGTGTATCTAACAAAAGGAAATGCTAAGATCATCAAGATCACAAAAGCAGATCTAGTGGTTTTAAGAATTAAGAAACATTTTCTTGGTTATCCAGTCATAAACCGTCTCCAAATAGGGGCTATAATTCTTTTTTGCACATGACAACCGTTTTGTAAAACAAATAAGGTTTGAAGGTATATCTTTTGTTGTACATGGATCTTTAGTTTTAAGGAGATTAGAGAAAGCCATCAGAGAGGTCACAAGACTCACAACCATTCAATTCAATTGCCTAAGTGTGCATCCAGAAAATGTGTGTGAGAGAGAGAGAGAGAAGTGCTCTGTGTTTGAAAATAAGAATTGGCATGGGCAATAAAAACTATTTAACAATCCTGTTAAACATAAAGGGGGAGGTCTTAGTCATTTTTAAAAGGGAGGAGAGGTCTTAACATTTAGCATGAACATCAGGGGAGGTTCAAGTCTTTTACCCAAAATTTGAGGGATGCGACTTGAGCAGACTCAGGTTGGGATTTTGCCAAAATTTGAATAAACCAGCCCAAAAGTGTAAATTGCTAACTCAGGCCAATCCAAGTTGCACTCAAAAAAAATTGAAGTCCAGTTGATGCTTTTTAACCCTATTCCTAGCCCAAACTTCAACCCAACCCAACCTTTCTCTGTTGGGTCCAGGCTAATCCGGCTCAGCCCTACTTTAAACCCCAAAAGGCCAAAATAACTTTTCAAGAAAGTATACAGTATACTCTATTCACCAAACGTCCCAACTAGCAAACACACACACACTACCCAGAAAAGGTTTCAAAATAAGGCTGGGCCTTTTTTTTTTCTGCTACTTAACTTGCGGATACTAGCAAATAGCAATGAGCGGGTTTTTGGTCCCATCCGATCCGATGCGAGTCCATTATAAATAACCTGGACCCAATTCGATCCAAATTTGACATAAACTGAACCCGATTTTAATGTAGATGAGTCGGATTTGACCAATCTGATCCGAATGGAATGAATTAACAAAAAAAAAACATAGAAAATGCAAAAGATAAATAAAATGCAAGAAAAATATCAAAATTTTCAGAAAATATAAAAACTGCAGAAAAAAACAACAAAATTTATAGGAAAAAACATCGGAAGTGCATAAGAAGAAAAATATAAGAGTTCAGCAATTACAGAAAAAAAAATAACAGATTACTTAAACAAATATGAAAAAAATAATAGGCTAGTTAATAAATTAGAGAAAATATAAAGGTTACAGGAAAAGATATCAGAAATTTCATAAAAATATAACAAATGCAGAAAAAACAACAATTATAAGAAAAATATAGAAATTGTAAAAATAACAGATATTTAAAAAAATATAAAAAATGCAGCAATTACAAAAAAAAAAAACAGATTACTTGGGCACTCTACTACATCACCTTAGACCGGGTATTATACCCATTGTATCACCTGGATTCCATTCAGTACATCACCTAAGCAATTGATCTCTGCTGGAACCCCTTTGTATATAAAATAAGAACAACCAAGCAACTTCATCAATCAAATGATTTATAATTTCTTAAAAGCTGTGCAGTGTGCTCAAAGAGTAGAAACAATATCCTAGTGTTCGTTTCAGAAATTTGGAATTCTCATGTATAAATTAAATGCAACGATTTATTACGTTGTTTGAATTTTGAAACAGTAGACTCACATCATAATGACAAAAAGAGGGCTTACTTACGAGTTAGGAGTTCACATTTACATAAAAGATAATTGAATGGTCACAAACCTAAGGTAACAAGTCAAAGAACAGAGTTGGAGAATGGCTGATAATATTGCCTGCCATGAACATAAAAAACATTATAACCACAGAAGTTCTTGCCAACTATGTTCTGTGAATCACCTGCCAATGCATTTCTTTATATTTCAGATTCAGCAAGATGGTACAAACACCATATCACTAGGTCTTAAAGCCAGGAATGACCAGACGTTCCCCATATAAACATTATCATTTCTGGGAGCCTTGTGTTTCTCAGTTTCCGCTACAGATGTTTAAGTAGCTGGATTGGTTGGGTGGTCCCTCACCGTGAAGAAAAGCACCTCAGGCCTGACAAGTGTCCAACCACATCAAAATCAAACTTTGCTTGTGCTATTTCTCCAAGATCTGTGTAGCATTTAAAGACCAAATAGAATTTATCATAATTCATAACCAACAAAAGCATGACACTTTAAGAAAAACTCTAGAAAGCAGCCAAGAATCAAAATTTCATGATCTAGACATGAGATCTTTCTGGTTTATCCAAAAAAACAAAAAAAAACACGAGATCTTTTTGAATCCAGATTTTGAAGAGCCCATAAAACCATTAACTCTATCCTCTCTTCTGCACAATATAAAGGATTTCCCATTTCTCCTGTCCTATCCCAAACATTAACGTTAAGAAGAACCAAGCACACAGAGATTATCATAATGCAACAAAATAAATTCTCTTGACTATTTTTGTTCAAATGTCACAAAGACTGCTGAATACCTAATTCAGTCTTGGTAAATAACTTAGAAACAAATTCTCCGTCTTAATTGGTGGTAAGATACAAATTCCAAAATTTGGGATGCCTGTGTCAAAAGTCTGTAAAAACTGCCAAATAGTTAAGTCTATATTGATAGTTTAGCAAAAACACTTTGTATTCTTGATACAGAACTTCTACTTTTTTTGTACTCATTGGCAGTGCAAATTTCATATCCCAAAAACTGAGGCAAAATTTACATCACCTTCCCAGTGTTTTAAAAGCACAAGGCACAAAAAAGGTGCAGGGGTCAATTTGTGCCCGAGGCATGAGGCGCAAGGCAAGGTGCACGCCTTTTGGAAGCAAGGCACAAAAATTAAAAAAAATGTCAAAAAAATAAAAAAATATTAAATGTAATATTAATAAAAGATATAAACTTTAAATTTTAAAATAAATGTTTTAAAAATCAATTATCTAAAATTAAAATACATAAACATAACATATAAAGCATATTCAAATGTGAATTTAAAAATAAAATCAAACATATAAAACATTTTCAAGCATGTAAAACCCGCAATCTCTTTTTTTACTCAATTGCATTACTTAAACTAGCTAATGTGATGTAAAACATATTACATTCCTGATTCTACGAATTGCCTTTGTGCCACGCCCCACAAGGCAAGCCCAAACAAGTCCATGTTAGGGTCCTAAATTCTTAGTTCTCAAACAAAAAATAATGATTATCTTCTTAAAAATCAATTAAAATTATAAAATCATTATTTTTTTTGTGTGAGAACTAAAAATTTAAGACCCTAACATGGACTTGTTTGGGCTTGCCTCAAGGGGTGTGGCACGGGGGTCAAACTTTCAAAAAAAGCGTCAAACTTTCAAAAGGCGCATGCCTAGGCTGAGGCGTACACCCAAGCGCACTAGGCGTGTGCCTTTTGAAAGGGCTGCGCCTAGGACCTGGGCGAGGCACCTAGCCTAAAATGCGCCTAGGTGCACCTTTTAAATCACTACACCTTCCTACCTCAATAATTCTTTCTGATATAAAGTGGGAACCACATCATCTTGCAACCTACCATTGTCTTTCACTTAAAGTGGAGATCACTTAATTTTACTTCTCACAAGCAAATAAGACAGCCAAATCTGAAGCAAAAGTAAGCCAGTGAAAATGAAATTTGTACTGCAAGTCTGCAACCAAACACAGCTTTATATACATTTGCTTTTGATTGTATTTTAATTTATTCTCTGTTTTTGATTTCTTTCATCCTACACTTAACAAGTTAAGGAACACTTAAATTCCAAGTGTTATACATACTGTAGGTCACAGCGGGTCTATAAACTTCAACCTCTCTACTGAGCTGTGATCTCAGGCCCATTCTTACAGGGTTGGTTTCCATGTTTAACTGGGAAACTGAATAGTTCCACGTATCATGTCAATATATTGAACTAATACTAATGGAGATCCGACCTGTTTAAATTAGATTGTTTTTGTTTAAGGGCAAATAAAGCCAAGAAAAATATTAAACATGAATAGTGAAGTAATTAGGATTTAGTGGATTCACACTTTTATAATAAGAATAGATAAATACAGAGATAGGCAGACAGACAGATAAATGTGTAGATAGAAAAGCAGTTCCTATGGACAGGTTTGTGGAGATTTGAAGTAAAATCATGAACCAAGTAAAACTTTTACTTGGTTCATTTTTTTCTATTCTTTGGATGACTTTTTGTTTTACACTGGTGGCTAGAGATTTCACTCATTTTTAAGAGTATAATTTTAGAAAACTGATGTGAATCCTACTCCCTTTATGAAGAAATTCACTTATTTTAAAATAAATGGAGCCCACTTAAATTTTGATGGATTAGGGGTGGAAAACAAAGACTAGTGGTGTAAAATGACAAGAAATATAACCAAAAATTTCCAGAGTGAAAACTTTTTATGTTCGAAATAAATGGAGCTGCTTCTCCTAATATTAATTAGGTTTTGATTTGTTAGGAAGCCGGCAAGTCGGCAACGAGGAGTTTTTACTAGGCACCTGTAACTTACAGGTACAACAAACTCCTCAAAGTCCTCAAATTCTTTAGAATCCACAAAATATCGAAGCCCGACCAACTTTGAAACTGATTTATACCCAAAAATCAATTTTTATAAGTAAAAGGAAATTTTCATTAAAAGAAAAAGAAAAATACAATTAGCCAATCAAACAGAGGCAAAGATTTTTCTCTGAAATTGACCTGAGACTAAGAGCTTCAAGCAACTTGAAATCAAACTAAGAAAGTTTTCCAAGCTGAAACTCTGATCCTCTGGACTTGGAGCACAAACCTCAAAGCTCATAAATCTAAATCTCAATACAGTTTATGGAAAGAATCATGCAGAGAAAAAACTATAAGCAGACAATATTTATATCCTTAATCAGTCAAATGCTGAAACAGGTAAGCTCAAAGGATATCAGAAACCAAATGGCCACAGAAAAAAATGTATATACAAGCAAAAAAACGACTAGACTTACTGACCTGTTCACCATTGTTGAGTTCTTTGAGCTTTTCAGCTGCTCTGTGCCTTCAATCCTGCAATGAGAGACAAAGCATTCTCACTTGAACAGAGAATGATAGGACAAGCAGGAGAGAGAGAGAGAGAGAGAGAGAACATTTTCTGGAAAGAACACGAGTTTGATCCATGTTACTTCAACCTAAACCAAGAAACTGTAGACTTTGTTGCCCTAGCCTCCCTCTGGTTTCCCCACTCTGTTGGATTTAGATTGGTCTTTGAGGTCATTGGAATGTCCACTTCAACATTGGATCATTAAATCCGGACTGGTCCAATCCAAAACAATATATTGGACCTCCAAATCCATTCTAATTGGATTGGATCCAGCAGAAACCCAGTCCATTGACACTCCTAGATCCACCAACTTCACAAGTAAAGCTGGCTATAAAATCAGAAAAGACAAATTTTGTCACTGTTTCTGGAAGTATGGAAACATAATTGATGTTTTCCACTTCCATTTCCTCATGGTCTAACCTCTCGGATGAAAGGTGTAATTCAACTCACGCTGAGGATAAGAAAATTACATAGAAAAATGGCATGAGAAAATCTACTTAGATAAAGCCTAAGGTTGACCTCATCAAATGAGCTCAGACAACACTAATGAAACTATCGTTAGCAGTGATCTGCAAGTGCTAGTTCTTAAATGAAGAACAATGCTCTCTATGCATGTCAAACAATAATTATACAGATAGCTACATTCTATATCAATTCTTAGGAAATTATAGAACAATGAGATTGGATAAACTTGCATCAAACAATGCTGTGTGTTGCACTTGCATTATTCTTTAATCTTGATGCATCTTCCAAACTGCCTCCTTTCAAATCCTCCAAGTTCATGCTTCCATTCGATCCTCCAGAAGATTCCATGGTTTTGGTCATCTCCTCCTTTAGCTTTTCATGCTTCTCTATCAATTCTGAGGAACTTACAGCCTCTGCAAGGCTTTGCTTTATTTGTTGAATAAGTGAATTAATTCTCGTTTTTGTATCTGGCCCAGGATCCCTTCCTGCCATTGCTATCTCTAACTTCAACAGCTCTATTCTGCTCTTAATATCTGATGAACTAGCAGCAGCCTCTATTTTGCTTCCAATTTCATCATTTAATTCTTCTATCTTGACTTTGAAGTCCAATAATGAGGTCTGGTCACTGATAAATTTTGATTTAATGGCCTCTACATCCAAATTCAAAGACTTAAGCACATCAGTCAATTCCAATTCTATCTCCTTCTTCACCTTTAAAATTTTAGCCTTTAGCCCACTATCCAGATCCCTCTCAGTTGACACACCAGCATTAGCAACATCAGCCTTAAGTGCCTCAAGTTTCTCCTTTATGTCTGGTCGATCCATGACCTCTTTGAATCTCTTATTTATTTCCTGTTTCAAAGTTGCTGTTTTACCATTCTGCTCTGAGAGTTTCTTTGCTTTACAAATTTCCTTCAACATGTCAAGTTTGTAATTCAAGCTATCATAATTGGGAGCCTCTGATAATCCTTGATTGAATTCCTGCTTTAGCTTCTCAATTTTGTCCTTCAAACCCTGATTAATGAGTTGGTCTGGTGAATTTCTTGCTTTTGCAAACTCCTCCCGCAGCATCTCAAGCCGGTCCCCCAAATCCATGGCATTGACTGCCACAGAGAATTCCTGATTAACCTCCCTTCTCAGCTTCTCTATCATCTCATTCAATTCCAACTCTGTAGGCTTGAAAGATGACACCCTGAATTTTAGGACTTGTTTCAGCTTTCCAACCTCATTTTCCAATTCAATATCTGGAGTTCTTCCAAGCTYTACTTTCTGAGATATTGGTTCATCTTTCTTCTTCATGTTCAATTTCTTCTCTGGGTCAACTGGAATTCCTTCTAGAAACCCACCAATATGACGGAACTTAAGCATCCGATGGCTTAATAGCTCTGGTATATCCATCTTCAAGAGCTCCTGTACAAGTAGATGACATGATCTAAGTTAGGATCTCAACGGGAAAGTAGAGTTCATCTACAAAAAGCCAACATGGCAGATACATACATCCATTGCTTCAGCAATAGCAGCTTTTATCTGTTGTGATGTCCAAGATGGGTCAGAATGTGCACCACCTACTGGTTCCTGTCCAAAAAAAAAGGTGGATGAGTTAAGATGAAACAAGTAATTGCAGCAAAAAAATTGACCATAAACTAAGTAATAAAATATTGGTGGGTCAGCAGTTCAACTCTATGGATCAAACTGGTCAACCTATGACATCATAAACTACGTAATAAAATATAAAAATAGATAAACTTTGCAGCAAAAATCGAGCATGTCGTAAATATTATATTCATCATATTGAACAAAAAAAAGTGTGATAAATTAGAATCATTGTTAGTAATGATGAAAATGGATAAAAATACTATATATATATATATATATATATATATATATAAGATGTGTGACCAGCACTGACCAAGATCTGTTCAATTGGCAAGGTGACCGGATCATTTAACTGAGTCAGCATTTTTTTTTTTTTTTGCAAATGAACGGTTTCTAGGTGAAACAGGCCAGAATAACTGGCCGGACAGTCCAACTGACCATTAGAGATATATATCCAACTTTTCTACAAAGTTTCTATATTTTTCAGTAATAGATGTATTTTCACTATTTTTATATATTTCTTATTTGATTATGACATCACAGATTGACCTATTTGACCCAGATAGTTGAACTGCTAAACTGCTACCCAGAGGGAAAAGCAGTTCCATTTCTGGATCGACTTTAAAAACACTGGAAAACATTCATTATATTGAGAGCCCATGTACAATAGCCATTGACATCAACAATCTTTATGTGCCCCTCCAGGAAGCTATGATCTTTCAAAAATATATGTTCTGTCAATCTGACCATGTGCTTAGATGGCATAGTCGAAAGGCAGGTGTTGCCTTCCAAATTTATCCTTGTGTTAATAAATCATTTCTTGAAGGTGCCACATGTAAAGGTTGTTAACTCCTTTTAGAGAAATGAAAGGACGCATCAAAATACAAGAAATTTAAAATAGAGGAAAAAATTACAGGAATGATGCCATCTGCAACTTTCAGTTTGACCAACTCAGGAGCAGTTATTTTCAGCTGCTCAGCTGCCTGCAAAGATGAAGAATACTTACAATCATTATAACCAAGTAAATGTAGCCTGCCTGCTACAAAGACAAGGACAAACATTAAAACAGTTAGTTGAAACCTTTGGAGCAGCTTTGGCACTCTTCCACAAGATTGCCGCACATGCTTCTGGGCTGTGTCATAGAGAAGGAAGTGAGATCAATAGGTAGACAAGCAGATAAAATGAATAGCTTCGATGTACAGATCGTATGATGCCAGAAAGATGTTTAAAGTCAATCAATGACAAGGAACAGTAGAAGCACAAATGAAATAGGCTCAAGCTACTGATATAGTAAGTTGCAGAATGGAATTATCAAAGTCAAATAGATTAACATAAGATGTAGGACAGAAAGGAGAAAGTCCTTCTAGGATGAATGTGGTAGAAAAAAGAGGGAGAATTAAGGATTTGACTTGTGAGAAGAAGAGATACAAAAGGAGAAAGGGAAGAAACAATGTACTTTTGAATAAAAGAGAGAGAGAGAAAAGAAGATCACACTATTACTTATAGGTAACATAAAAATAAACTTTATTCAATTAAATAAGAAAAAGCACAAAAAATAGAAACAATAATAAATTGTCTGGAAGAGCTATTACTATAAAGTGAGCATCTATGAAGTATGAACTACCTTGCAACATAGAAGACTGCATTTTCGAGCATTAGTAATTTGTTAGCACATCCAATAGCCAAAGCGCCACCAGAACCACCTTCTCCAATGACAATAGAGACGATTGGAACCTTCAAACCAAACATAGTCCTCAAGTTCTGGGCTATTGATTCACCCTGCATGCAGGTCAAGCAAAAAGGATTTTTTGAGACAGTGTTTGAAAATCAACACCCAAGCATGTCCGAAAATTAAAATATATGCGTACTTGTCCTAGCTCCTCTGATTTAAGGTCTGCAAAAGCTCCTGGTGTGTCAATGAAAGTAACAATAGGAAATCCATGGTGATCTGCATAGTACATCATTCGCAAAGCCTTCCTATAGCTGTTTGAAGATGAAGCCAATTATAATTTACAATGAGATTCTCTTAATACTTAGAATATGATTAAATAGAATCCATGGTTAGTTCTAAAACCAAATCTTCAGTACCACAAAAAAGGGGATATATTCCTTCAACAAAACCTTACATGGCTAGTAACTACTTTCTATATGATGAATTCATACCCAGAGAACATACCCATGTGGAGTAGGCATTCCAAAGTTGCGATGAATGTTCTCTCTTGTGTTTCTACCTTTCTGTTGACCTATGAACATGTATGGTCTACCATCTATGCTTCCAATACCAGTTACGATAGCAGGATCATCATAACCCGCTCGATCTCCATGTAGTTCCACCCACTACACAATTGAGATGAAAGGAAACAATTAGAGAATTGAGATAATTCTCCTCATATTACAAATAAGAAATAATCCAAGTAGACATGAATCTCCCATCAGCATTGTCATACCTTGTCAGTGATATTCAATATATGGTCAAGAAATGTTGGTCTGTTAGGATGTCGAGCAATATACACTCGTTGAATAGGAGTTAGATGCTTGTATAAATCCTTTAGAGCCTGAAGTCAACATTGTAAAGTTCAAGAAAAACATTCAGGTCCAGTAACTTGCCAATGAAATCAAATCCAATGACAGCTATAGAATCAAGTACAGCATGATGGATGGACACCCTCATACAACTCCTGCTTGTTGTCAATGTATATTGAGAAAAGGGTGCAAAACCTGGCTACAAATACCAGTTTACCACTACTGCTTCTAGAATGAACATCATATATTACCCATTGAGTTAAGACGGCATAATTAAGATTACCTACAAGGGCTAGAGATAAATTTAAATTCTAGAGAGAAGAACAAGACACGGAAGTGATAATACCAGCTATTTGTGCCATCTTTGATCAAGGGAGAAGCTAGGGTACCTTTCTAGAATCAAGCTAAGAACGTATACCCAGAGCATTTCAAAGTAATCCAAGAAAACCTCAGATTAAGAAAATTAGATGGATGATAACGGAAGCTAAGTAAAACAGCTACAAAATGTACGATGTCTTTCCTCCACACGTTTCCGCTTGTTACACTTGTTCAGGACTTCAGTTTTTACTCAAATATGAAATTACAATTGCTCTGGATGTGATCCGGAAACCATGCACATTATCGACTTGCCTGTTGATGCTTATTCTCCAGTGAGACGATTTGATCCTTGAAATCCAAACCAGTTTCCTGTGCAAGCTTTCGCACCTACAAGCAGAAGAAGCAAAAATCTAAAGCAAACTGAAATCTGTAAGTGTTGAATTCATGCTGTAGACGTCTGGCATGAGTGGCGAAGAAAGGAGGACTTTACATCTTCAATCTTCTTCTCCAGATTCACAAGCGGTTTTTCGAAATCCAAAGTGACTGGATTCTGCTTCTGCTGCAAAGGCTTGAAATAAGAAAGATGACTAAGAACTCCTCCTTTGACATTCGGATCAGGATTGTTAGGCCACGGGTAATCATGCTTCTTTCCCTTCTTAATCTTTGCAGTAACAGTGAACTCCTTAAAGAACACACCCAACCGTGCCCTCCCAATGAGCCTTAAGGGAATTCCATTAAGGCCATTACTCGAACTTCGGAGAGGATCCGAAGCAGAAGTAACAGAAGATGAAAGTAAAGAATGAGGTACAGAAGCCATTCTTAAGCTCCAAATCCTCCACGAAATATAATAAATAGATCACCAAACCAACTCCTCTGTTAACCAGAGAGAGACAGCTCCAAAATATTAAACCTGAAAAGGAAAAGATCGGAAATGTCAAAAAAAAGAGCTCGAATTCACTGAAACCAATATCAGCGAAATACCAAACCCCAATCAATCTCAAAACCAAACAAAATACAGCAAGCAAATGATTAAGATCGCCTGACAACAAACCTGAAGAGATGGAAAGCTGCAATGAGTAGGAGGATGAGTAAACTGGTATTTCAAAGAAGAAGAGCTAAAAATCTCCAGAATGCCAGCACCAGAGTATGTGGGAATTGGGATCCAGGGGAAACGAAGCAGAGACACTGAAATGTGACATCGTATTGATCGCCATGGTAGAGAGAGAGAGAGGGGTACCAAATTATCAGCTAGGCAACTACTAAACCAGGAAGCGCTTACATAAGATAATTAGTTAGCAAGTAGCAAGACACTGAAATGTGACATCTTATTGATCGCCATGGTAGAGAGAGAGAGAGATCCGCAACCGGACGCGCGTACAATCAGATGACTTCTAAAACCTAAACTGCTAAACAATTTCTTAGTGTGGAGTACAGTTTGGGGTGATCATCCTTGCCCCGGCACGGAAACCCGGCCCGACCAAATTTTTGAGCCCACGCCCATGATTTTGTATGCAAAGTTGGCCCAACTCGGTCTCGCATCAAACTTAAAAAATTTTGAGCCAAGCTTGGGCCTAATACTTCAGGCATGGCCCAACCCGATGTATTTGTTATTTGACCATAAGGCAGCGTTTGGAAGTAATGTAAATCAAGAATGATGTAAAAGTTTACATTGGTTCAATTTTATTTGCATTTGGAAGGAAAATGTAATCATGATTGACTTAAAACTCCACTCTGGTTTAGTTTTACATACGTTTGGATGGAGTAGAGTTTTATGTCGATAACCGATGTAAAACCTATCAAAGGTAAGGCTGTCTTTGGAATCGGTGTAAATTAAGAAGAATGTAAATATTTACATTAGTTCGGTTTTGTTCGTGTTAGGAAAGAGTGTGTAATAATGATCGACGCAAAACTCCATTCCAGTTCAGTTTTGTATGTGTTTGGATGGAGTGTAATTTTACGTCGTGAATCAGTGCAAAACCTCATCATATATAAAGTTTTACATCGATTATCGATATAAATACTACATTGATAAAATCAATGTAAAACTTTACACTAATTGCATCATGTTTTTCAAAAATACAATGATCAGTTAATGATGATTACACTGATTCCAAATGCAGCCTAAAGTTTTACGTCATCTTTAGACTCTTCACCTATTACGTTTTCAAAAAGTAATGGTCACTTTCACTGTTTCATGTAAAACATTATCGATATATTTTTACACCGATGATATTTTACACTGATTCCAAATGCGGACTAAATGTTTTGATGATAATAAATTCATTGAAAATACTAATGATATGAGATATAAGTGTATAATTGTACGAATGATTCCTTAGGGAATCTGTCCATCATTAAATGAATTATAATGTAATTTGCAAACAAAATTAAAGCCATCAAATAAAAGTAAAATGCACTTTCCTTGGAGCAAGGCATTTATCATTAACCATGACAACAGTTTACTTTAAAAGAAAAATATATTTTTGCAATTTTGAAGCTAATGGCCTTTACAAATTGAGCCTTTGAGGTTGTCTTCAAGAGGTAAAAACAATAGTAAAATGAAAAGGGGCATTAAACAACACTTGTTCTTCTTCCATTCGAAATTGGTAGTGTAAGTACATGTGGTTCCTCATGTACTATTCGATTTTCGGTTATTTCAATTAAAACCGAATTTCAAAAATATATATACTATATACTATATTATATATATCATAACAATAATATATATAATATAATATATATTATGAAATCAAATTTTAATATATTATATATTATATATTACATGCTATATAGCAAAGTTTGGTTACTTTGGTTTTTTCGATTAATTGAATTTTTAATTCTAAAAACCAAAATTGAATCAAACAGAACCGAAAAAACCRAAACCAAAATTTTTGGGTCTGTTTTTTGGTTTTAATCGAATAGTGCTCACCCCTACTGGACAACCCCAGGTGCGATCTTACACTCCCTGGAAACCCCAAGAAGGCCCTAGCAACCCCAAGAGTGACCTTACATTCCCTGACAACCCTAATAAGACCTTGGCAACCCTAGGTGCGAGTTCACATATCTTAACAACACCAGGAAGGTTCTAGCAACCCCGATCGCAAAGTTCACATGAGGCATGGCGATTGGAAGTGGCCATCTGCCTCCAATGACACCAGAATGTTAGAGCAGGGTCATATGCATGATACAACAAGCAGAAAAAATCTTGTTCTGCCCAATCAATCATTGCAAACAAACATAAGCACAAAGGCCATGGGATTTTGCCCAATCAAAAAAGCGACAACAGATCATGACTCRACCAATAGGGGGCTCAAGCCATACCACAACATTATGACTTGACTACACGAACAACAAATACTCAGAATCGATAAGAAACCACTACAATGCACCAATTACAAACTTGATCCATCATGGACTTAAGGTATCACTAAACACCTATTGTAGGAGTCAGACAATAATCTATGCTCATCGCAAGCACACCCACTTCGCATCACCCTAATACACTACCAACATGACGCTATGTATGCGCCTTAATTATTTTTCACTCATTAAACATTGCTCATAGTCTCGCTCAGTTGCGATCACCCCATTCTCAACGGCAAGGACTCCCCTTCGTGATGTCATTACCCTAGGATCTTATCATGCTCCTAGCAAATAATAAGTTACATGCCCTACCCGACCAATGGGAATAACAAAAATACAAAATAACAAGAAGGAAAAATGGCCCACATAAGAAACCTGTGTTTTCATTAAGCAATATGAACAGGTGTACATTTACACGGCAAAATGGTAAATACCAAAGGATTACACACAAAATATTTGTTTACTTAGATGAAACCATTCGTCATGCATCTTGTTGATTTCTTCTAATTTCTCCCTCTACTCCTGAACCTCAACAATCTCTTGATGCTCTTCTCACAACTGTTATAACCCCTTCTATTGACACACAGCTTCATCAAAAAGAGCCTCTATCTTCTCTCCAGTCTTTCGGATGCAGGCGTCCACCACCTTTAACTGCATGCAAAGCTCACCTAGGTCCTTGGAAGATAACGGGTTGGATTTCTTATGACCAGTCTTTCAGAACACATGAGCCATGCGAACCACCCACTCCTGGATATGCTCCATCTTGAAGCCCCTCGCGGTGAAGGAAAGATAGGTCTTCAATCACCGTGCAAAAAGAAACCATGACAATGATTCCATGGACTATGACATGATGGAGTTCATCAACCCAACCATGGTGTTCAAGGAGGCATTCATGACTACGGGAGGAAACTTGGCAGTAGGCAACCACCCCTTCTAAATAATCAATGACACCATGTCAGTGACATTACGGGATACGATGAACCGCTCCTGCTTGTGAGCGCCCTGAACAGTAACAAGATCAGACACCACAAACCCGATAAGCACCATATCCTCTTTTCTGTAGTAGTTTGTTAACTCTTGGCTCACTATTGCGAGCTCCGCAAAGAGCTCCAAGTCACCACAATGTGGGTCCAGCACATCGGTCTCCACCGGCCAAACATCTACTGCAGCTCTCGACGCCACACTATCACCATCCACGACTGCTAGAGACGCTTGAGAAGGTTGTACCTACCCTTGCATCAAATTAGAAGGAGCAACCACTTCTACAGGATCACAAACGACGAAGGCTCCTTCAAAGCATTGAGAGGCTGCACGGGCTCTGCAACAGGGTCGTTAATAGACCCGCCATCTTCTCATACACAATCATCTCCCCAAGGGCCCAAAGCCTCCACTAGGGATGGARCTACACTAACATCACCACCGGGCACCCTTCCCTCCAAGGTCTCAAAGCAGAGAGCACTCAACTCTACCGCCAACCGCTTAAYGATAGGTGATACGATGACGCTAGTGGGGGAATAACAAAGGAAACCTAGAGCAACATATGAGGTTAGAATACCAACAATACACAAAAGGACACTCACTCATACAAAAATAGACATACCTCGTCGCAGCTAATGTAACCATCAACAAATTGTAAACCTATAAAGTCAGGTCATTCATCCCCCATTTCCACCCTCTTCAAAATAAAAGACTACAATAAAACACCCATCGATGTCAACAATAATACATGTCTAGTAAACCAATTAATATAAATAAAATAATGGAAACTTACCAATCTAAAGACCTTCGTATCCCTTCTCTAAACATGAGGTGCTATCTTCTTCACTCGTACACCGGTGACAAGGGGCTAATTGTAACTACATGAGGTTCCCCACTTTTGAGATTCCGATGAAGGCTTCAAACCAAAACCACAAGAGCACCCATGGCGACATTAGGAGCCACTAGGGACCCGCAATGAACTCATAAGTCATCATAGACCTATAATGAGCTCAAAGTCATCGCGGACTTGCGATGGACTTAAGGACCATTGCGCATTCACAACGAGCCAAAGTTACTCATGTTAGACAATGAATGTGCCCTTAGCTCCAATTAGTTTGATGTACATTATGACATTTATTATAAATGAATAAAGTACATATTTGATTCATGTTATTGTGGTGTGTTTTTGTGTAATACCCTTAAATTGGAAACTAGTGAGACTTGTGTTAGTTTAGAATCTTCACAACTATTGGATAGATCTGGGGAGATTTATCCTACCAAGGCTGACACTAATGTGTAGCCAAGTTGGTTGGGGTGGCTTGTCTCAGCTGCCAGGGTGAGACCTGAGGTACATGCAGTGTGGGTTTTCTTGAAACCCTGAACCAGACTAAATTCTAGTGTTGCCCTGGACCTTAGAGACAGACGAGAAAAACTGGAATGTTACACCTGACCCCTAGACTCGATTATGGTACTGCACTAGGTGTCGGATTGGGTTGTCTTTGATATGCCAATTAGTGAGATCCTTAACGGGGGTCAAAACCTGGGTATGTTGGGACAACCCAAGAATTGATCTAAGTGGGTGATCATAGTGACAGGATCAGCCCCTTTGTCGRACAAAGTAAAAGATCGGGGAATGCACTATCTCTGATGGAAACCAAAATTGTCGGCACTGGATTTCAAATGTGTTTAAAATTTGTTTTGCAATATACATATATATATATATATATGTATATATATATGGTTTCAAATTGTTTGCAAAAGGTTTTAATTCCCAAGATCCATGTGAGTAGAGAGTGCAACATTGTATCTTGCAGCCGAGGGAGAKGTCCTCTCTTGTCGGGCAGTGTTTGATCATTAAGGACTGTGAGGTTAAGTGTAAGACCATTGAGGATTATACCTGATGGGCTAATGTTGCATCTTTCCACAGTCCTTGGGCATTCATAAGATGGCTAGACCCAATGACCATTTAGTGTAAATGTTGGGCCCATTAAGAGCCCATGGTGATTGACTCAAGGGTTCAYTATGTCCTATAGTGAATTCGGTCAGGCCTTATAA